GCCTGGTAGTCATGGCAACTTACTGAGCAGAACAATATACAGTGGTAGCTAGGTCTTATGGTAATTATAAAAGAGCCATTAATACCGTTGGCAGGAAGATAGGAGGGTCAAAGGACCCCATCCAAGAGTTTAGCCATTCCTCTCCTCCCCTTCCCTCAGCTGCCTCCTGGGGGTTTCTAGAGTTCATGCATAGTAAAACAGTAACCAAAGAGGGGCTCTACAGCACAGCTTCTACAAAGTCACCATCCGTGACGGGAATTCAAGGTGAGACAGCTGCTTTGGGGTCACATTCACTACTCCTCTGTGCTCTGTAAGTCACTAATTAGCCCACCAAGTGGGACTCTAGCAACATCATTCACTACCTTGGTCAGTGGCTGGTGCCCTACACGATGTGGACTGTTACTCATTTTGTCACCCCAGGAGGAGCTAATGGAGCAGGGACAGAGGTGGACAGAGGGGTGGGAAAGTCAGAAGATCTCCCTATGGCCTGCCTCGGCTTCAGGAGGAGTCCAGGGAAGGGGATTCTAAGGCCAAAAGGGGTGGCAGTTCGAGAGGCCCCACAAACAGGCGGGTTGGAGGAGGCAGGGATTCCTCCTCAAGCAGCTCTGTTCTACAGCAACCTATGGGCTTTATAAAACCTTAATTATCTCCGCATGATGAATACATGTGCACTTGTCTACCCAACTGTGGAGGACAATCTATGGGATGCGAGAAAGGATAATAGGGATCGGAGAGATAGCTCAACCACAAATGAGGGCATACCAAACTTTAGAGGGCCTGATTTTGACTCCTAGAACCAACCTCAGGCAGTTCAAAATCACCTGTAACTAACTTCCCAGCTACAGGCAATCTGATGGCCTCTTCTGACTCTTCAGGTACTTCACTCATGTACATAAACCCTTACACAGATAGATAATTAAAAATAAAAAGTAAATCTTAAAAAAGAAAAACAAAGGGTAATATTGACCATCAACAAAAAATTCCTCTGTGTGTGTGTTTGTGTGTGTGTGTGTGTGTGTGTGTGTGTGTGTGTGTGTGTGTGTCTTTAGTCTATGTGTGCGGAGACTTAAAGTTGATATCAGGTGTCTTTCTCAATCTCTGCTCATCTTTTCATTGTTGTTGCTGTTAGTGTGTGGATGTTGTGTGTGCTTCGGAGCATGTGTAGGTGTGTCACAGCAAACGTGTAGAAAACCACTTTATGGAACTGGTTCTCTACTTCCACCTCTTCGTGGGTTCAAGGCACTACTTCAGGTTGCTAGACTTGTGGAAAGTGCCTTTGCCCACCAAGTCATCTCAAGCCTTGTTTTGTCTGAGATAGGGTCTCTCACTTGCCTGACACTTGTCAACTAGCTAGGCTGGGAGCCCCCAGGATCGTCCTGCCTCTGCTCCCCATGGCTGGGATTGCAGGAGTTGGCCACCACTCCAAATCATATCCAAATTCAGGCCCTCACACTGGCAAGGCAAGGACTTTACCTACTGAGACATCTCCCCAGCTCCTAGAAGCTCCCTGAGCGCAATGTGCTCCAGAAATTGGGGAATTATAGAACCTGTTGCTCCTATAGCTGTTCAGCTCACAACACAGGGGCAGTAAGTCAGTCAGTCTCTCTTGGCTTCTGTCTCAGTGGGGAAACCAATTTTTCCCTTGGCAGATGTTTGAATCACAAAGACAGAAGGATTCATAAAATTCACATGAACATCCTGTAAACATTTAAATACATCAAGATTAGATAAAGGCAACCATGACCTTGATTAAAATTGAGCTATTTTTTTTTAAGTGTAGAGCGGTAATCCCTCTAATTTGCAGGCTCAAACTCCAGCCTCTTGAAAGGCTCCTCTCTCATTGGGTATGCTGTGTGTATAAGCAAGCACACCCCACCCAATTAACTTGTTGTAAAACTGGAAATAAAAGAGGCATCAAAAAGAAGCAACATTTTGGAACACCTATGCAGGTCTTACTCCACTGAATTGGACCAAGTCTATGACATTTAAATAAAAATCAATCAGTAAGTTACAGAAAACATATTCGCCACACCCCTGTCTGCTCCAACCCTTGCCCCTTGCCAATTAACTATTTTATCCCAACTGGAGAAGCTGGCCCAGAATGTGGTTTGCTTAGGACTGAAAATTCTGACCTGCAGAAGCTAAGTAGCTTGCTCAAGCTCATAAGCAGAGTGATGGACTGGAGCCATGGCCCCTTGCTGTTACAGCCTGGGGCTCTGTCTCCAAGCTAAGCAGGCCAGCATCAAAGCTGCCAAGTCCCCAGCCCCTGCCCCAGTTGGCTTGCGAGTTTAGCGGTGCCCTCCAACAGTGAAATTTTATGGACCAAATCTGCACACCCACCAGACCACCAGGCTCAGAGGCATAACCTTCCCAGCTAAGCCTGCTACTCTGACACCAGAGGATTGCCAGGCTCCTGCGAAGGACCGGGGTGATATGTGGTCTTGCACATCTGGCTCTCAACGGTGCCACTGTGGAACTCCCTTACACTCTTGTTAAGACCGTTCACTAAGAGAAGGCCTTGAAGAGTTTCCCAGCTGTGTGTCACCTGATATAAACCGTTCCTTTCTTGCAAAGCTTTAAAACTCTGTTTGTGTGTATGTGTGTGTGTGCACGCACATCTGTATATCGTGCACATATCTATGTGTGTGTGTGTATGTGCACGATATACAAATGTGCGTGCACACACACAGAAAGAGAGAGAGACGGAGAGAACTGAGTGCCTTTCAGGCAAGTAAGCCAGCTTTTCAGAGTGTCTTGAACCTGATGCGAGGAGAGATGACAGCTGAAGGGCCTGTCAACCACCTACCCAGAAAGAACTGCTGCCTCTACCAGGAGTAAAGACAGACGCCAAACCACAGGTGCCTGGTGAGGCTCAATGCACCTGTCTCCCAGGAGTAACTGACATCAGTGCTGCACATGGTATACACACACACACACACACACACACACACACACACACACTTTTTGATAGTTGTTTTAGTATTTAGCAGTGTGAATACTAGCGACCTTTAACAAAACGACTCTGAAGCCGCCATCTGAGCCCCCAGCGCCCCACCCTTCAATCTCTTTCTCCAGAGCGGAGGGGCTGTGAGCACCAGGCACACTACTTCAGCAACACCTGTGCTTCCGCACTGATTCGGGTGCTTGTCATTCACTTTACCAACAGGAATTAGCATAAGGCATTAAGGGGAAACTCCAGGGGAGGAAAGAAGGGCCATTTTGATGGAAATAAGGGGCGAAGGAATAATCCGTCATCAACTAAAATGCTTATTTGTGTATGTTTCCCAAGCAAAGCTTAGGAGAAAAGCCTGTGTTGATTTTTAGTATACACAAAGAAACCTTAATCCTTTCAAGGCAACTGAAATCACCCCTCACTCACTCAGAAAAGCAGCAAAGAAGAAAGGCACCCGGTCAGGGGCATGGCCGTTCACAGCCACATAGATGCCCCACATGACTCAGTGTAAGTAAACAAAATAAGAATTCGGGGCGTGCTGGAAACTTGGGGTGGGATGGGAAAAAGAGAAAGACAGATCATCTTTCTTCTGTCTTCTCCTCTTCAAGTCGCAAAGTGGAGCCGAAACAGCTTAGAAAGGGCCAGAGCAATTTAGCAGGAGAAAGACACAGTCCCAGGCGGCTAGAGATATGTGTGCCCGGGTTGGAGAGGTCAGAGAGTGATAGAAACTTCTTTGGGCAGGGAACTGCCCTCCCTCCTGCCCTCCCTCCGTTTGCTCTCCTGTTACCTTTCTTTTTATTAAGGACACCTCCAAGGCCCACTGATCCTCTCTCGTGAGGGACATGTGCTGTCAAGCACCCACATCAGCTTTTATTGAGCTTTTAGCATTATGGATTACAAATTTATACAAACTTCTCAGGTCATTAAAAATATGATGAAATATAAAGCTGGAATCATATCATGAAATTAAAATACAAGATCATATTCAATAAGATATTAATTCTGGGAATCCCAGCAAACATACACACACACAGCCCTTGGGAACAACTTTAAATATAATGTACTATTTAAAATCAAGGTGGGTTCAATGTCAGAATAATTGGAAGGCATAAAATAACTGCACATGGAAATGCCTTACTAACTAGTAAGCAAAAAGAATAAAAATCTAAAAATTTAACAATGACATAAACTGCTGAAATGGGCTCCCGGTTCACCCTGTGGGTGCCTCGCTCTTGGTCCAAAGCTTATCCAGTGCTCCCACAAATCCTTAGTGGAACAGAGGTTACCACAGGCCAGCACATCTCTATTTAGCAATTGTCCTGCAAGCCTAAGTCAGGTTCTAGGGTGGGAAGACAAAGGTGAGTTGCTCTAATTTGCATCTTTCAGATTGCACACCTTCTGAAGTCATGAAGACTCCCCTAAATTTCATTATATCCAAGGACATGTCTGCAAATGAAGACTGCTGAGAGACCTACCAGCAGTGATTTAGGGTGAGCCTTTCCGAAATGGACCTCAGCATCATCACAGCTCTTCCTTTATGGACTAAGGCTTGGAAGGAATAAATGGGGAAGGGCGTGTTTAAATGCTGTCCCCTTGCTCATCTATTAACTTTACAGAGAGCCCAGGACAGAAGAAGGCTTGCATCACAGCTATAATGCTGTGAATACTAAATACCTCGCTAGTTATGTAGTGAGGTATAGAGTTATATAGTATGTGTCTGAGGCACACACACACCGTTCATAGCGCTTTGACTGCTGGGAAGTTGATAACTGACAATCAAGACATTGTAAAAACATTCTTTTCTATTGCAGCATCCGACATGAAATTAACACCACCGATCAATTTAAACAAGGAACCGGTAAATTCTTTCAAAATGAACTTTTTCTCCCACATCTCAAAAACATCCAGATTCCTGAGCAAAGCAAAAGCACAAAATGCAAAGACAAAAAGACCACATGGATTTTCCTTTTCCCTTTCTTCTTGGACAATGGTAATGAGATGCATTTTTTTTATAAGCCATCCTTTAGAATAATAAAGGGGGTCTTACCTTTGTTTACAAAAACAGTGTTGAAGAGTTTTTCAGAGCTAGCATCTGAAGCCTGAAAAACAGAAGTAAGGTAAAGCGTTAAGACTGTCAGCTAAGGCCGTCCCCCACAGCATCATCAGTTGCTATGATTTTTCAATCAATTGACTATATTTTAGGAAAAATATAAAAGCCAGTCATTTCCCCAAATCCTCCATCAGGTGGTGCTGGTTGACTGTTGGAGAAAGGCTGTACTGCAGCTATTTGCTGGTGGAAGGAAAAAAAAAATCTGATTTTCAAAATGTGTCCTTATTAGACATATTATCTGTGCAAAACATATTTCTATGAAATGGTACAAAAGGCAATTTAGTTCATTCACAAAATGATTTTCCAATTCCGTTGACAGATCATTATTTTAGAAATGTATTATTTTGGTTTGTTTTTTTTTTTTTTTTTGCCACCAGATTTCTTGTATTTCAATTTTCTTCCACAAATCAAAAATGTGTAGTTTTTGACATTAATCTTTTCCTCACTAAAGTACCATCCAGCATACCCACAAAATGATTTGTTTTTAGAGATGTAGCTGATGATCCTGATGTTCAGTGTTTGTCACAGTAACCAGGCCAACCTCGGTGTTTCAGATGGGAGCTGACCATGCTGAAAACCTGGCCACTATGTCACACCAGTGTTACCTCCTTTTCACGTTTTTCAGAGACCATGTCTGCTAATTATTATACCAACATAAGGGAAGTCAATAAGACTGTTTAAATAGCAAGACTATAAAGTCAATTTAAATTATATACTAATGTTCCGGGAAATAAACAGTGAGTTGGTTTCGTGAAAGTGACGGTAATGTTGAAAATTTACTGTTTATTTCTAGGACTTAAAAAAAAAAAAAAAAAAAAAAGGTAAAATTAAGAAAGCTCACTGCTCTGATTTGACAATATCTCTTTGACAAGTCAATGGTCAACCTGCACTCATGCTGTGTTTGACCTGTAACCCTTCTGAGAAAACTCTCCTCTTTCAGGTTTTATACAGAGACACATACATTTGTCAAAGCAAGGCACAGAATGTTCAATAAATACGGAAGAAAGAAATATGGGGAATAGGGGCAAGGGAACTTGGGCTGGCTTTGGGGGACAAAGAAGATATTCTATGTAGTCTTTCAATGCTACGCTGATGGAGATGAATTATTGCTGAAGGAAATGTTTCAGTTTACAAGGCTAGAGACAGAAAAAAAAAAAAAACACAAAACCTAACCTATTTTTATTATGCCTGGTTCTCATTTAATTCTAACCTTCCTTTTCTATATGGGGTGGTTCAGAGGATTAATAAGACCAAGGGCAAAAAAATGTACAAAATATGTATTCAATTGCATTCACGTGTGATTCCTCTGCTACTTTCGTAAGAATACTAAAATACATACAGAGCTTTCCTGACATCATAAGTAATGCTAAACAAAATTATATTATAGTAGCACTTCATAAAAATGGGCCACAAAGCACGTCCTGCGGAGGGTGTTCAGCATGAAAGAGTGCAAGAATAGTAAGTTAGAAAGCCCCACTGATCTGCATGGTGTACACACAGATGCGTGGATCGGACGAAGGGCACAACGATCGGCTGCGCCAGAGGTGTTACTATACCCAAATATTAATGAGCTTTCTAGGCTTGTAAATTTCACAGTCTAAGGCTTAGCAATTCAAAGAGTTTTCATCACTCTTACAATGGTGTGAAATGCTCTTAGAAAATCATTAACAAGTCATGGCTTCAAAGCTAAAATGGAGTTAATATTTTTTTGAAAAGGAAAAAAAAACCATACACACACACACACAAACACACGAGCAACACCCTGTCTCTTCTATTATTGTACAGAACTAAAATAACACTTGAAATTTTGGGATTTTTCAATTACAGTGAGCCTATGGGCCTAAAGAAACAGGTTTTTAAAAAAATTTACTACTCTTCCAAAATGGCAAAAGCATAGCTAGGGAGAAGCAACTGTTTCAGGTTGCATTTTCCATTGCTCTGGGTGTGGGAGGCAGAACTGGATTAGGCTCTAGGTGGCAGTCCCTGGTGAGTCTGTCACCTTTGTGAGCACCACTGGGCTCTGAGCACACTCTTGAGTAGATAAAGAAGTGGCCCTGAGGACCTGATGATGTTGTGACCAACGGTTACCAAGGAAATATGTCTGATGGACATTCAAAACGCTTGGAGCAATGCCTTCTAATGGAAGCTTTTTGAGCCCTTTTATTTACTGACATTGGTCACAAAGTGTTGAATTGTTTCTTGTGCCTTGGAGTAAAAAAGATGATGTCGCAAAAAGGCCTCCTTAGGAAAGGCAAAAACACCCAAAGTACACGTGCCTAGGTGACCTGGTTAAAATTTTTTGAAAAGTCTTCCTGCTTCCTCGTTCTCCTCTCTGCCTTGTGGACCACCTTCACCCAAATTCTTCGTGTCTCCCCGGCAGTCTTGATAGGTCCAAATTCTCTGTAGATCCTTCCACTTTCCTCGAGTAACTTTCCTTCGCTCATCACCTTTAAAAATCAGGGTGGGTGTAATGGCTCAGCAGATAAAATGGGTTCGTCACCAAGCATGACGACTCCAGTTCGAGCCCCCACACCCACATTAAGGTGGACGTTGTCCTCTGATCTCTTCATGCACCCTCCACATACATACTTTTATTTTAAAAATTCGTCTGCACAAATCGATGGGCTCCTTAATCGTGGGGAGGTTCTCATCTCGTTGCTTTTAAAAGGAAAATAAACGTGCATTTCCCTCTATAACGTGATCGTTTTGTCTACCTAATTTTTCCCTTTAAATTAGCAACGATGAACGCAGGCGCGATAAGTCAAAGGGCAGACACACCGGTGCCTTCCCCATTCTCTCCGGCACCGTGCACCTTTAGCCACACAGAAATGTAATGTTTCAGTTGCCATTTCGTTTCCTCACCTTGATTGGCTTTGCTGAGTTTTATACACTTAGAGGCTGAATCTAAAATTCCCAGAGAAACAAGCCCTTTGGGGCATTTTACGAGAAGGTGCGTGTTATTTGCCTTTTATATCAATACTTTCGACGGTCTAGAAGCCGTAGCTGGCGTGGAAAGAAAAGTTAAGTCAAGCAGCTTGGCTAATGAAGAAACTGAAAAAAAATAAAGAAAGAAAGAAAAAACCGTCCAAGCACACGGGTGGGTCCCAGACGCCTGGAGCTGCAACGGGATTCCCTCAAAACTCAGACCGCTTAGGTGGCTCTCCAAAGCCACACCCGCAGAAAGAGGCGCAGCAAGACAATCCTCTTGGAAACTTAAGCGCGGGTGAGTTCCTGCACCAGCCAGCTCGTCTTTCGCTTCCCCGGGCTCCGCGTGCGCACAAGCCGGAGGGCGGGCACCCGGAGCTCGGCGCAGGGACAGTGACCCGTCGGCAGGCAGCTCTGCGCCAGGGAACCCTCTCTAGCCAGGGCGGTCGCCGGCATCCCAGCCCAGGGGTCTAGTGATCTCCTTGGGAAGCCGCAGGTCCACTCCCGGAGGTGGGATTGCTTCTGTCCGCCAGGGGCTCCCGGGCAGGCGCTCACGGCTACACCGGCCGAGCCCAGCCAGCGAAGAGAGCCAGCAAAGTACAAAGGGGAGCGGGGGAGGGGCGGGGAGGGAGGCCGGGCCCGCCAGACGCCAGCAGCCCGCCCCTGTTACCACCCTGGCCCGGCCGAGGCCGCAACAAAAGACCCCTCGACCCCTGCCTCCTCCCCCGCAGCCGCGGGTGGCGGGCGGCCGAGCCACCCCACCCCACCCCCCAGGGGTGGGGGGACAACGTTACCTGGTCGCCGGGGGTTCGGCTGTCTTGTCAACCCCAAGTTCATGGCTTGAGTCCTCCACCGGGTGTACGGGCACACACCACCAGGAGAGAGCAACCAAAACCCACGGCAGAGAAAACGCCCAACTCCAGGCGGCCCGCCTAGGTCCGCAAGTCTGTGTTTTACTAATTCCTCTCCAAAGTCTCAAAGCCGAGGCACGCGAATCAAATCCGAACCGGAGCCGCAACAGCAGCGGCGGCGGCGGCAGCAGAACCGGGATCCTCCGCCGCAGCCGGGAGTCGGCGCCGCGCGCGCACATCCAACGCAGCCAAGTCCGGGGCGGGCGGCAGGGAGACGGGGAGGGGGCCCGGCCCGCGCGCTCTCCTGGTGGCTCCGGCGGGGCGCGCGGGGGGCCGGATGGCTCAAACCAGGGGCTCAACTTAGTGCGCCCTGGGGACCCGGCCGGGCTGAAGAGCGGTGGCCCGGGAGCCGCAGCCGCGGTGCTCGGAGCTAAGAACCAGGCGGCTGCGGCGGCGACAGGACAAAGGAGACCATGTGCGGAGGGAGGGAGGAGGGAGAGGGAGGAGGAGGGCGTACGGCGGCAGCCGCGAGAGCGGCTCCCCGGCGGCAGCCTCCGGCTCCCGACGGCGGGTGCCGCCTGTTCGGCAGCGCCGTGGGCTGGTCTGACGGGTCCTGGGCCCGCCGCGGCGCGGCACCGAGACGCTCCGGGAGTCGCGGTTCGCCGCGGGTGTCGCCCGCCTGGGTGCGGGAAGCTGCGTTTGAAGCTGCTGAGGGGCGCGCGCGGGACTAGCTCCGCTCCGGCCTGCCTCTCCCGCCTGTTCCCGGCTCAAGTGAACTCCATCGGCGGCCCGCCGCCGGCGCCACCGGCTACCCGGGGCTGGATCGTGGCAGGGAAGGGGGTCCCTGGTGGCGACGCGGGGACACCTCTCTCTCCCGCCCTCGCTCTCGCGCTTGGACTTCGCTCCCCGGATCGCACCGAGCGCGCCTCACTCCTGGCGCTCGCGGCTCTCGGAGCGGGACTTCTCGGCGCGCCCAGCCGGAGCCGCCAGCCGGTGCCACCGCCCCTCCTCCGACCCGCCCCACGCGCCCCGCCCCTCGCCGCCCCTCCTCTCCACCCTGGCGCCCGGTTGGCCCCGCGGGGGCGCAGTCCCAGGGTGCCACACTGACAGCTGTGGCTCCCACTACATTCTGCCTCCGGTAGCGGATCGGGCCCCAGGTCCCCATGGCGCCTTTCCCCCGCGGGGAAGAACCGCGACGCTCAGATCCCTTTGC